ATTGAATCTCCTTGTTGGCTACTTTGAGAAATAGAAGAAGTGTACATGTTTCTATATTCATTAAATAAAGTGTAAATGAAATCCTTCACCTCATTGGCAAGCTTCGAACCCTTTTCTTTTCCATGCATATCAATTAGAGACAATTCAACAAGTATGAACTTGCAATGAGGGTCAAGAATAGAAGCAACATAAATAAGCTTGTTCATTTTATTCACATTCCCCCAATACTTATCAAACTTTTGATTCATTGCAATAGCCATAGCTTGAAAGTTCAAATCCCCACTTTTCTCCCACTTATTCAACTTCTTACCCGGAGGCAAAATAGCATACAATTCTTCTACGTCCACTTCACTAAGTGGTTGTGCCGTGTCTTGAGAATAAGCGGGCGTTCGTTTGGATTGGGAGCTCTCTGCCTACATTTAAAAGAGATGAACCAATTAATATCCTTCCATACTGTGCAAATTAAGAACAAGACAGAACCATAATAGGCCATTCATGTATTCTAGCAGTCTAGCAGAAAATTGTAAATAAACAAGCAGTCAAGCAGACAATTGTAAATAATCCAACATAATGAAATGTAAGCTGATCATCTAAAGCAATGTTTGCATATTTCAGCCTACTGCCTTCAGATTTCTCTTCAGAATCCTTATTTCTATACTTGGACAACATGTCACTGACACCAATTCGAGTTACAAATGAGCAATAGCAATAGAATATCAAAGATAACAATACTACTCGTACTAGCTAATTAATTACCAACGAACGCAAGATACTATGTGAAAATAATTAATTAGTCCTTTAAAGATGATCAAACAACACTATTAATTAATTAAGGTTCCTTTAAACAAGAAAATAAATGTGATTTATCTAAGTGCTCAGGAATTTACCACTTCTCTTTGCTAGATCTTTGTTTAGAACACTTATGGACACCTTCTTGTTGGGGAACCTCCACTATAGTAACAAAAGATCAAGGGGTGAGTGTTTAGGACAAGAGGGTTTAGGTAGCACAAGTTCACAAGTATTTCGCCAGTGTTTTAGGTTATTTTCTATGTGTTTAAGCCTCAGATTAAGCCTCTATTTATAGGGAATGAATAGGTTTAGGGTTTTGAACATTCTGTCGCAGCAGGTTTCGCGCGCACCACGATTAGTTGCGCGCGGCATCCCATCGCAAGTGATTTAATTGCGCTGCTATGGGCAGCGCAACTGATTTTCTTGCGTGCGACATTATGGTAAGATTCGATTCTTTATTTTTATAAAATTCTGAATATTCTGCGAGCGCATCTCTAGAGGTTGCACTGAGTTTCGCGCGCAACAGAATTAGTTGCGCGTGCCTTCCCAGCGCGGCTGATTGAGATGTGCGCGAATTTTCCTGCGGTAGCATTAAAATTTAACCTAGGCGCTCCTAAATCCGTAATTATTGGGTTTTAAGCATGGGCTTAAGCCTAATATTGATCGGATTTAGTTAATTGGACCTCGTTTTAGCTTTGTTTATTTAATTTGGGCTAGTCTTGTGTTTTGTGGCTTAACCAGTTATCCATAAGCATTCTCCACTTCAATCTAACACGAAGATGGTTTTATTTTATCGTCATTGCACTTCCTGTCGGGACAGGAGGCCAAAAGTATATGTCTACAGTTAGCCCCCACTTTGATCGAGTCTAGAATAGACGATGATCAAAGTAGTCAAGGAAATAAATCCGAGACTCATTCAGCGAAGTTCTCAAAGAATAGAGAATCTTTTACAAATGTTTAAGGATGCAAAAATGATCCTTGGTTCGCTAAGTGTTCGAAACAAGTAGCTATTAAGGCTAGAAAATTTTTTCCCTTGTCTTAACGCGCTAAAGAATCTAGATTAACCTTTTGCAATTGTAGAACCTTTTTACAAGTAAAGGTATTCTGGGTGATGTCAAGTCATGAGAAGAGATCGGTTTGAAAAGAATAAAAGGGGATGATTTCCTCTTAATAATGTCATCGTTGGTATAAAGTCCCTCGATATTTCATTGAAACTTTAGCCTGACTTTAACAAAGTAAAAAGATGAAAAAGGGGTTTTCGATATTCGAGCCAAAATGGTCCGGCATTCGAGCCGGATGTCCACAAGATAGAAATACATGTCTCAGGACTAGATGCATATATCCAAATCAAGTGAGAGGGAAGAAAGTCAACAACTCTCTTAGTAGTTTTGTCCACAAGATGAGTACACGTGTCTCAAGACTGGGGGCACGTGACTACATAGGCACGACATCGTCTCGTCGCTTTATACAGGGGGTGGACGGACACCCTAACTGTTCGGTAAGCTAGTAAGCTCACTAACTACCGTATTTTCTTCCAATCAAGAAGTGTCTGTTCCTAATGGTTCGGCGCGCCTATCGACTCGTGAGCTAACACCTAAAGTAATACTCCACCTTTTAGTTTCGAGAGGTTGTTCTCGTAAAGCTTGAGCTGAAGTGAAATTTTACGCAACACCTACGTCGTACAATTTTGTGTCGTACGATATGCTTTTTTCATTTTTACGCTGCTTGACAACACCTTACTTTTTTATTCTGACGTGAAAAAAGAAGAAAATCCGGACATTCGTAACGTCAGTACAGTAAAATGACAAGCCTGTCTATGGGTGCTTTTACGTAAAGCACCACCACGGAACGTCTTAAGACACTCTTACGAAAAACGTTCAAAACGTATGCTTAGGGAAGGCACAAAGCACGGTGTTTATGCAAGAATGATGCAAAAAAACTAACAAACAAGAAAACAAACTACAATATGCAAAGCAATTTAAAAGATTTTGATAATTTGCGGGCCATTACGTCTAATAACAAGCAAAAACCGTCGAAAAATGATCGAACGGATCAAAATCAAGATTTCGGTCATTTAGGTGACTAGCATCCGCGCGTAAATCAGTGGGTCGCGCTGGCCAGGAGCGCGCATCGTTTTGAATTGCACTAGTATGTCACGCGCAACAGATTCAGTTGCGCGCGATATTTATGTCAGTAAAATGAAATCGTTGAGCGCAATTTTCATTTTGCATTCTCTTTCTCCTTCCTTCGCCATTTTCGCCCCTTTCTCTCTCTAGGAAGCTCAGATTTTCTTGTTTTTTGGAGCCAAAGGAAGTAGATCTCGTCCCTTATTCATATTTTCCATAATCCAATGTAAGTTTTTTGTTATATTTCGTTTGATTTAGGCTTAATTGGGATGATTTTTGAACTGTTGAACCCTATATTTCGAATTTGGGGGTTTTCGATTCGGTCCATTATTCTTGAAATTGTTTGTTTCATGTTGTTATACTTTGTTTAAGGATTGTTTTGCAACAAATTTCATGAAAAATGGTTATGTATTGAACCTTATATGAGTATTTTTTTGTCCAAGTTCATTCTTACACTTTTTCTTCGAATTTTACTCGATTTTATTGTTGTTTCTTGCTCATTTTGGTTACACTTGCTGATTATGAAGTAGATTATAGTGGTGGAACCAATGTTACTTTCATAATTCATTTTTGCGAATTTTGAATTGTTGAAAAATGGCGCGAAACATACTCTTAGCTTATTTTTGCCATGTTTAAACCTCAAAATTGTTTGGTAGACGATAATCATGTTTATATTACTGTTATTTGTCTAAGAATAGTTGATACAATCCCTTGAATGCTTAGTAAAAACTGGTATAGGATGGCTTTTGGGGGTGTTAGAAGCCCCCATTTACTAAGTTTAATTACAGGTATCGTAGCCCCCAAGTATGGGTGGCATTCGATTTTCGTGTTTTTCCCTATTGGCAGCTATTGGGTCTAGAATACGTATATTAGTTTAGTTTTCGCGGCCGATCGACGTCGCCAATCGACGTCGCCAAAATGGGTCTAGAATACGTATATTCTTACACTTTTCGCGGCTGATCGACGTCGCCAACAGGATGTGGTTTGGGAGGCTCCTCCCAATTGGGACCCTAGGATCCTTAAGTGCAACCCAGACCATCATGTCTCGATCAAAGGGTGGCGTGGCATCATGAGTTCTTTGCGCCTTCGTTTCTTTCCGTTTTCCTTTGTATCTTCTCCTTTTTAAACTATAACCGTTTTTTTTATTTTTTATTTTTATTTTCCTTAGAGTGAGCCTAGCATGCGTTTACACGGCTCTGGTGACCTCAACCCCGTTTTGAGTGTTTACCCGAGGTGACAAAGGAGATTGTGGAGCTTTCGGGGATTGACTTCCAGCTGGCGGCTCTTCGGGATTTATCGAGTCAGCCTGCGTCCTCAGCTTTCCTCCGTGGATTGCTGGAGTATTGGTGGGATTCCACCAATACTTTCCACTTTCCATGGGGAGAGATAATAGTTACCCCTTTCAATTTCTCTATGATTACGGGTTTTCCTTTTGGAGGCGAGCCCGTAGCCATAGAGTTCGTTAAGGTGTCAAACGAGAGATTGCGCGACCTTGTGGGGGACCGTCTTGCGTCGGCCCTTCACGTATACGTACAGTCTTGTCCGTACTCGTTTCTTGCCGATGAGTTGTTGGCTAACGAGCTTGATTGGAAATGTACACCTGAGCAGCTGGCTCGGATATACATTGCTCACGTTCTTTCCATCACTATCTTGAGTGATCGTGGAGAACGTTTCGATATTGGGTTACTTATTTGCCTTAGTTATTTGGGGCAAGTAGGTAACTAGAGTTGGGCGGAGGTGTCGTATGAAAGGAATGGTGTTCTTAGAACAAGTGTATTATTCTTATAGTGGGTTCAGAATTATTAGAAAGCTAATATATTCAGTAAGGTCAAATGATCGGAATGCCTAGGTGAAGGCCGCTTCCGATCAGTAATATTAATGTATAATTAATATTACAGCTTAATCTTGACTGACCCCTTCGGGTCACACCCAAGCAATTAAAAAATCGGCTTAACGAATTAATTCGGAAGAAATTAATGATTTGCCCGAGTATTAAATATTTAGACGTCGGAAATTCGAGCTTAAAGCATCAAAACCGAGCGTCGGAAATCGAGTAAAAAATAGTAAAAGACGAGACACACAAATAATTATAAATCAACAATATTTCCCAAAATACCCCTAGCATCGGAATGCCCCGAGCATCTTAGTGCTAGGGGCATAATGCGTGGCATGGTGGCTAGCATGTGCACCAAGTCGAGCCTAGGCTAGCTGGTGCATGCTAGCGCAACAATGCTAGCAGCCAAGGGTAGCCACGACCGCAAGTGAGCAGCAGCCCGTACCTGATGTGCGTGGCTTGCTGGCCGCAAGCAGCAGCTGCCCGCACAAGGTGTGCGTGGCTTGCTGGCCGCAAGCAGCAGCAGCCCGCACAAGCGTGCGAGGCATGCTAGCTGCGAGCAGCAGCAGCCCGCATCACCTTGGTGCGGGTAGCTGGGTCGTGGGCTAAAGGAAAGCATGTGAAGGGAGGCTTTAAGTGTGAGGGACATCTGGCACAAGGAAAGAAAGGAGTGAGGAGCAAGTTTGGTCCCCCCCTCTCCAAGTGGTCCTCACTTCCCTTTTCATGTATTAATGACACTTATAGATTTATTATTAGTTTGCTTATTTATTTATTTTAGCTTTAAAATAAATTGTGAAATTTCATACTCCCACATTGATGGTATAGAAATTCCCATTCTCACCATTCCCTATAAATTCCCAACTTGGGTTTTTGGGAATGGTGCGTGAGTAGGAGTTCATTAGTGCATTGCATTTTGCAAAAACTCTTAAACTCACATAATACTCGGGTTTTGGTTGGACCTCTCTAACCTCAAGGTAACGGACCTAAAAGTCAGTAGTTGTTTTTGCGGGTGGATCTCCGTCGGAGGCTCTTGTATTTTCGGGGCTAAGCTTTCAAGTAAGACCCCAATTAGTCGGGCGAGTGTGATCCTTGGCTCGGGTTTTTTCCACGGTGAGTAGGACTCACCAAACCCCAACATCGTATGCCCGTATGCTTACTGCTATGGGCAAAGCTACCCGGGTGATGGATTCCGCGGCAGCTACTGAGGTGCCTCGGATCTCCCTTACGTGGCACGGTCGTATCCTTGAGGTACATACTTTAATCTTCTTTCGATTATTATTTTTGCTTTTCTCCTTCAGGCTTATCCTTTTTTTCAGTTTCAGGCTTGGGGATCCTCGTACCTGCCTTTCTTAGCCCCTAGGATGCTTGGGGCTGCTCACTTTCCTATCGACCATCGATTGGTCACGATTAAGAAGAGACGAGCCAATTCTGTCGGCGACTTTTGCCAGAGGATCCTTTCGGCGACTCGTGCGTCGGTGAGTATTCCAACTACATGTGCAACTTTTGATTTTATTTATTTTCTGACGATTTTTCATATGGTTGTGTTTGTAGATCGATCTCTGTCCTTGGAGTCTGATCGTCGGAGTCACTGAGGTTGTCCGATCCGGCATGATCTGTTGCCGTTTCCGGGCTCTTTATCAGGGACTTCCAGTCCTTCAGAGGACAGACGCTTGGTTTTTAGGCGAGCGTGTTCTCTGGCAGTCTGCATCCATGGTTCCCGTGGATCCTCCGATCCGGATGTTACGTCCGAACTTGCTGTCTACCGAGGATCGAGCTCAGGCGATCCTTGGTTATCCAGCAAAGCAGCTGGTGCTGCCGGATGCATCGTATCCGACTTTCAATGAATCCAGGCTGACTCCTTTCCCAGCTTTTGTTCCGGTTTGTACTTTAACTCTCTGTTGTTATTTATATTTATTTTTTTGGAACTTTGACTCTTTTATTTATTTTTCAGCGGGTTGAGTTACGGGGTTGGGTGCAACCTGCAGTGGAGATCACGTATACCGATGTCGTTAGGTCGGTAATTCGTGAGATCCTTCCAGCATCGGAGGATGAGGAGAGAATATCGTTTGTTCTTGAGACGGTTGAATAGGTATGTTCCTTATGCATATGTATTCATATATATATATATATATATTCATATACATTTTTGCTAACTGTCCTTGTCTTTTGGAACAGGTTCCGTGAGAGACCGTAACCGACATGGTGAGGACTTTGCGCGCTTTCCGAGCTGCTTATCGGAGAACTCTCCTCACTTTGTCATGTCGTGATCATCGGATGGTCGCGGTAAGTTTATTATTTATTTTTCTTGTAACGAAGTTATACATATTTTATGTATTCATCTTCGTTCGGATTTTGCAGGATGTGCAGCATCCGTCTGGGAGTCGCCGACCATCCTGACTTCCTTTGTACACACATTTTTTATATTAGGAAACAAATGTATATATTTTTTTGTTGTACATATGACATGCTTTTTTGTTTTTGTATATATGTCATTTTCTTTTGTTTCCATGTGTACATTTTTATTTTATTATTATTATTTATTTTTTTATATTCTACCTTTTCTTTTTTTTTTATATAAAAGTTTGCAAAAATTTTCCAAGCAAAAAATTTTCGAGGGAGGGAAAGGTTCCCGACTTAACCCCCTCGAAAAAATAACAAAAAGAAAACAAGGGAATAGAAAAAAGAAAGGAAAAAAAATGAAAAAAAGAAAAAGAAAGTAAAAGAAAATAAAAAAGAGAATATGAAAAATAAGAAAATATTAAGGAAAAGGACACAAAGGTTAGTAAAAGGTAAGCGTATGATTTGTCTTAAGATCTGGTGGGATTCCGTCATTTTGTAGTTCAAAATACGGAAATAATCCTAACTCACATGTCGTGTCAGAGCAGACGCGCGCAACCGTAGGAGTTGCGCGCGGCTGTGGCGCGCATGTGAATTGGTTGCGAGCGTATGTCGCGTGTAACTCATGAGTTACGCACGACACCTGCCGAGTTGCGCGCGACACCTGCTGGTGATCTTTCTTTCGAGCGAAAATTGCCAAAATTTTGCCCCTTTTGGGTCTATTTAAACGCGATTTCGTGTAGGCTTTTAAGTATTTCGCATTCATTCGCTTAGTAATAAGAATCTAAAAAGAATTCATCTCTCTAAATTCTCTCTCTCTTTTTTTTAGATTTGAACAATGGTGAAAACCTTTGAACAACGCTTGAAGCAATGGGTCACCTCCTTCTCAACCGAGGATAAACTAGCTTTCAAAATTTACCACCTAGACCCTTTATTGAACTATATGAAACTAGTGATCAATTTTGATTTCCTTCACGCCACCGTCCACCATTGGGACTCTAACCATCATCTTTTCTTGTTTAAAGGAGATGAGATTGTGGTCGTATTCCTTGGCAACACTATATGTGTGAACCAACCCCGACATCCAAGTGCATGAAATCCCCTAACAACTAGGAAAGAGAGTATTCTAGGTGCTAAAGCCCAAATATGTCCAACTTTGAAACAAAACATTTTGAAACCTTGCCTTAAATGCAATGGAAAGACACTATACACACACTTATTCACAAAATCAACAATAGTCATGAATGCATATACAATTGTGCAAGATGAAAGCATGATCAATCAAAGCTACATATACCAAAAGTCAACTCAATAAGGCGCTCATGACCATCCAAACATAGAAAACCAATCTCAATAATTAATAGACCTAGGCAAGTATGGGAGAAATAAATCAAGCAATCAAGAGACTATGGATTAAGTAACCACCAAAAGATATGAATAACCCCCCCAAGCTAGCTAATATCTACTCCCCCAAGCTAGAATGGAGCATTGTCCTCAATTCTCAAAATAAAGGCACCGACAAACATATCAAGAAATAGAGCATACACGATGCTCATATAACAAGTAAACACAAAGTACAAGGAGACTTTATGCTTGAGAGAAGGGGGAAAAGAAAAAGTAAGAGAATCAAAAGAAAAATCAAGAAAATAAGAAGAAAAAGAAAGATAGGGAAGCAAACACTCCTCACAAAAATCTTTTTGGTTGGCGTTATAACTCTTTTCCTCATCAACAAAAAAAAAGTTGGGGGCTTTGAAAGCACGAATACGAGGAGGATCTCTAAGAGGTTCTTTGAGATTAGAAGGGAGAAAAATAGGATAGTAGGGGATATAGTTAAACCTTTGGGAGAAAGGTGTATGAGAAAGAGGAAAAGGGTAGCTACTCCCTCACCACAAGGTCTCACATCACTAATGAGGGCATGTAAATCAATCATGGAATCATCAAATGAAGAACCCTCACGATCTACATCTCCCTCAAGCTCAAAAACTCCAAATGATTCAACCTCAACCTCCTCTTCACCATCTTAAACAACATCTCTCATAAATTTATCAAGGCCTACCATCTCAAATTCAAAAGTGAATCGGGGTAAATTTCTCTCAAACTCATCTCTCTTTAATGAAGCATTATGAATGAACTCACTCAAAAGGTTATGAGCTTTCTTTTGAGACTCAAGAAATATTTGGGCCATAATCTCAAATGAGTCCAAATCATCATGGATAGACGAGTCAAAAGCTTGCTCATTGGAATCATCTAGGGGACTATGGGGCACACATTTAGAATTCATGCAAAAATTGGATGCGATATTAGAGAGGACATGCACTTCATCATCATTAGAATGTACCTCATTACATGGAGCTATAGAGGGAGGGGAGTTGAAATCATGCATTACATGGTCACTATGGGGAGCATCAAGCACATCATGGGAATTCATATTAGACAAATCATGACAATTAGTATCAACATAAAAAGCATGAGAATACCGAACATAAGTCTCATGATTGGCCCTCTCCCAATCAAAATTATCCCTAGCTAACCATGAATAGAAATCCCAAGCTTCATCTGAAGACATAGTTTAAAATCCACCGTTTAACATATTGTCAACCACTCCTCTAAAATGCTCATTTAATCCCAAATTAATGATTTCACAATAATCACCCTTGGTAAAACCTTTAACAGCGCCTAGGAAATCCCAAGTCTATTGAAATATACCCAAAACGGTTCATTATCAAATTGAGGAATAGAAATATAAGCCATTTTTTTCCCAACAAAAACAACAAAAAATAAAAACAAACAAATGAAATGAAAATTACACACAAAGGATTAGTCTCAATAAGACAACACAACGGTAATGGAAGCCGTTCCGAGGAAACGACACCAATTTGACAAGGGAATAAACGCGTCGTCAAATGTCTATCCCTAGATCAAATACAATTTATACAACCTAAACAAACCTAATACGAGTATAAGGCAAGCATAGGGGTCGAACCACAGGGAACGAGTAAACACTACCAAATGCTATCAACAATTAATCTAGTCTGAAATAAGAGATAAGTAAACTTAAGTCTAAAGACACTAAGAAAAGAAATAAAACACTAAGAGAAATGGTTTAGGTGTATCATTCACTTGAACATAAACAAAGGCATAGAAATTGAATTAATATGAACTAAACATTTTCGAATATCGAAGTAAGGTCAAATCTAGCCACCTGTCGGGGCACATTGGATTCTCCTAACATAGCGTCTATGCTTCCACATTAGAACCATATACTAGGAGGTGCTATCAAATAACGATCGACATAAATGAATCTTGCTAGGTCCGCTAACGCATCTTCTAACAAAATTCAATCCCAATCAACTAACAACATGTATTTTGCAAGTAGATTGCAGAATATCAAGCATATAAAGACTTTAATCACAAATAAATCAATTCCAAACCCTAAAACATGCTCAAGATCCAACTACACCACAACCATCCCCTTAATGGGGGAATTACTCACTAATCATGCTAAAAACAAGATTAATTAACAAATAATCAAGAATCAACATGATTAACAGGCAACACTAACAACTAAAACAATAATCAAAAGAAATCAAATAAAATAGAGGAGAGATAGTTAGAGATTCTCATTGATTGAAGATAAAGTCTACAAACAAGATGATCAATCTTCTTCTTCAAAATTCAAGCTCAACAATGGTGAAACCCTCACTTTCTCTCTCTCAATTAATCTAATCCTTAGCTAACCCTAGAGAGAGAAGCTCTCCTATAACTAATTATGAAAATAGAATATTGGTGATGAATGACACTAATTACCCCAACAATGGGTATTTATACTAACTTAATAAAAATAAGAAAAATAAAAAGAAGGAAATAAATAAAGAAAGAAAAGGAATTAAAAAGAAATAGGAAAAAATAAAAGAAAAAGGAAATAAAAAGAAAAAGAAAAGAAAATAATAAAAACCCAAATCCCCCACAAAACAATCAGACTCCAATCCCCTTTCCTTCGATCTCTATGGCTACTTTGATTTCTGATCATCATACCACAATCATCAACTGCTATCATTAAATCACCACCGTCAATCATCATCTCTTATCATTGAGCATCAATTAAGGTCGTCTAATCTTTATTAACAACCATGTGAAAAGCTCGTGAAATGGTTCGATCGAACTGAGGGCAGGTTTGACTGAACTACGGGGTTGGTTCGGTCGAACCATGGGTGTGTTCGACCGCACCTACTCAAATAAGAAAATTTCATACGTTCCTGACCATTTTAACACTTTTTGGCACTTCGATCGAACTCTTAATAGTTTGCCCGAACATTGAGAATTTGCGATTAACTCTGATTTTGGCTGTTGCTTGATTGTAATTGGTGGTAGCTACGGTGGTGGAGGTGGCTGTTGTTATTGCGGGTGTTGTGATTGGTAGCTGTGGTCAGGTGGCTGCTCTGTTCAGTTCGGCTCGTTGCTGATGGGAAGGTTTTGGTTGCGGTGGCTGTGATTTTGTGGCTGGGTGGTTGTAGAGATGCGACAAATGGTAAGCTTGTTGTTTGGAGTGGTGAGTGCGCTGATTGTTGTTCTAGTGGAATATGGGAGAAGGGAGAGGTAAGGTGGGTGAGTTTTGATGGAGATTGATGGTAGGTTGCTGCTAGGTGCGGTTGTGGCTGGGCAGTGTTGTTAGGAGGATAACGACTGGTGGCTGAAGGTGGTTGAGTTGAGGAAATTGGGTGGTTGCAGGAATTGGTGAGTGTGAATTGGAGAAGGGGAGCAGTGAAGTAGATGGAGCAGGGGAATTAGCTGGTGTCGTTGTGGTGGAGGATAAGGGAAAGGTGAGGTGATGGACAAGGAGAGCAGTAGTCAGCAGCTAGCAAAGAACTGCACACACTTTGATTCTTCCCCGAGTTCCGAACTTACTTGACCTGAAACCCGGGACCCTACACACAAAACCAAGTAGAAATCGAGACA